AGCGCGCGCTGGCTGCGCAGCGGGGGCTGCTGCTTTCCCCCCATGCTTTAACCGGCAGGGAAAACAAGCAAAGGCGTTTTGTTCAGCCCCGCCAGTCAGTCTCTTCCTTATCTGTCGTGATCCCTTTTAAGTGTAATTGTGAATGGTGTCAACAGAGAAAAGGAACAATTTGAATGAGTCTGGCTATAGCTGAGTTTCTTAACCGAATGATGTTGCAGGGCGGATTTCTTGTCTTGAAATGTTCATTATGCTTCTGTGGAAGTATGCCAAGAGCAGGAGCAGCTCAGGTGGGGGAGGAAGCAGCAAGAGATCAGGCAGAAGCTGCAGTATCCAGCATATTTTATTCATTAACCTTTTATGCGAAAAAGGCATTTTGGAATAGTCTGGCACATTTTGCCTAAAAGCACTGGAATGGGTCTTGAATTTCGTATATTGTAGTGGCAGTGTTCATGTGACTGAACGAGCGTATGTGGGACCTTGGCGTGAGAGGGGTTAGGCTGCTGGGCTCAAGCGCTGAAGTCAGCTTTGCAGCGGGCTAAACTGTGCTGCTTTCTGTGCAAACCGCAGGTCGTTCGCGAGGAGACCGGAAGGGGTCGGTGTGCGTTGAGGGGCCGATGGTGCTCCCCTGCGCGCCGATCCGACCCCGCGCATCTCCGCGGTAGTCGCTACGTCGCGGCCGCGCGGCCCTGGAGCTCCCTGCAGGGCAGACGTCCCGCTTTGCTCCGGGTTAGTCCGGGCCGTGCAGGGGGCGGCAGCCTGAGGGAAAGGGCTCTACCCCAGGCTCGCTGCCTCTTCATTTTAGGGCTTTACCACGCTGGAGCCTCTGATGCCAACTTGTCAAGTATGGCTGTGCGTGCCCGTCTTTGAACAGGCTGCGATGCCGATGTGACTACGTTGTCTTCCAGGAACTGTTTTATAAAATACTTTCAATGATACCGAATAATTCTGTGTTAAAACCTGGCCCAAATTCCAAACCAGATAAAGTTCTTTAGGTGCGATGGTCAACCTTAGGTATAGTCATGAGTAGGAAATGCTCTGAAATTGTGCTTAGGTTCCTAGATGATTATGCATTTTAACAAGCAGTCTGGCAGTGTAAATGAAAGAGAAAGGACACGCTGCACAGTTGGTAAATTAGAAGGATTTCTTGAGAAAATTAAGATTTTAGTAGAACTGTTTTTATGCTCTCAGATTTTAGTGGCTAGAGTTTTAGCTAATTGCTTTGGGCTGCAATGGGAGGGGAAGAGAGTGATCTTTCCAAAAGAAAATCTCATTACAACCTCCCCAGCCTCCCCCCCCCCCCCCCCAAGAAGTTTGGTTCTTGGCTTCATAGATTTCAGTTTTTCACCAAAGGTAACGGAGACTTACAATGTGGACCAAGGCACCACTAATGATGGGAGGAAAAGGTGCAAATATTCTTCGTTTGCTGAGTGTAGGTTTGAAAATGATTATGCAGAAGATATAATAGATGTTTTTTATTTGTCAGTATTTTGGGCAGAGAGAACAATAGCAAAAAGTCTATCTGAACTCATGCTTCTGTACCAGTGACTGGAAATACTGACATGATTTCCCATCTGGAGAAAATGCTTCTGTGGGATTTATAGCCCTGCTCTCATATAGATGTTTGCATGGATGTTTATGAGCTCAGCTGCTACTATCTCTTTGAAGGAAGAGGGCATATATTTTGAAAACAAACGGATGACAGATGTGAAGGCTAGAAAGCACCACCGTGAGCCCCTGCTTGGAGCGTCTTCCTGAAGCCTTCTCACGTTTGCCGTTACGGGGACGCTCCTCAACGTTGCTGGCGTTCCCAGCAGCTCCGCACAGCCTCCTCAGCATGTATGTCCAGAGCTATGGGGGACATGTTATTTCTGCTTCTCACATGAGGGTGTTTGTGTCAGCCTGCTTCATTTAGAACAAACAGGGTGGAGAGAGCTTTTGAGGGAATTGGGAGTTCCCCTGATGCCTTTGACCAAGCTGCTTCGTGCTTGGGCAGAGGAGGAGGAGGAGGAGGATGTCTGAGGCTGGGGGAAAAGAGGAAGGGCAACTGCAGGTGCCAGAAGTAACTGGAAAGCCGTAGGAGACACTTGGAGTCAACATGCAGCTATTAAAGAGAAAAAATAGAATTAGATGAGAACCATGGGGGGAAAGCTATGTTTCTTCTGAACCACTGGTAACAAAGAGTTCAGACCATGGTTAAAAATAAATACATAAATAAATTAAGCTGCAGAAAGACCTGCCCAGCATCATCACTGTCATGCAGCTGAACCACTGCCCTCCGCTCTCCCGCCTGCCTGGTCACCGCTGCACCGGCCCCTCCGACAGGGCCCTGTGTGTGTGTGTGTGTGTGGGGGGGGGGGGGGGGATCCTGTGGAAAACTTCTGATGACTCTTTTGGAAACAAGTCACAAGTAAAACTTGGTTGTGCTTTTTCTGCCCTGGCTCTTTTCTTGTTTAGAGGGGGCGATTATTCAGAGTCGGCTGAGACTGGTGTAAGGATTTCATTAGCCTTGGATCAGGCCCCAGCAGTGGATATTCTGGTTGCTTGAAAATAAATAATTAACGGTGCTTTATTTTTCACGTTTCCAGGGCAACGCAGAACCCAGAAAGATCGTTTTTTATTATATGAGCAGAAGCTTTTGGCTGCTCGGGAGTTCTCCTCTCTGTTGCATGTGAAACTGCTGCAAAGGTACCAAAGCCATATTTTCTATGGTTATAGTCAATTTACCTCCTATATCCAAAAAGTAATGACAATCAGATGCAGCTGATGAAATAATCTGTTCTCGCTGCAGAAGAGCTCATTCAATCAGCTGAGAGCTCTAGTGTTTGAATAGATAATTAGTGTTGTGACAAGTGTAACTTTAAATGCCTCAGTTTGGTGGCAATGTTAGGAAGTCTGACAAAAATTAAATTATTTGTCTTCTTTAACCGTGGCTCTTTTTCGATTGCTAGTGAGACAGGTTCTTGTTAAACATATGCCCTTTTTGATAGACTTCGTTCCAGGTCCTCAGTTGGGAAAATGATTTATGTTTGTATCATAAAGGGTATGAAAGACAGGGCTTTCCCTTTTTTTCTCCCTCATTTCTTTTTATGTCCGTAGCTGATGTAACAGGCCATCGCTTGTGTTCCAGCATGAAGCGGAAAGAGCCCCCAAAACGAAGTCACCAAGGATAGTAACGCTGAGGAATGCCTCTCTCGCCTCGCCAGAACGGGGCTTGTACACAGAACTGCAGCAATTTCTGGCGGTTGAGCTGCAAAGCTGCCAGGTCGGCGTGCCTAAAAATAAGCTCTTTGGGCTGCTTTGAAGTTCCTGCCTCCGCGCGCGGGCTGTGGCTCCGCTCTGCGCTCCCGAGACGGGCAGGCAGCAAGCAGGCCCCGAGGGGGAGGGCAGGGAGTCCCTCCGGGGCACAGCTGCCACCGGCGCGGGCATCCAAAGGAGGCAGGAAAGGAGCCCTCTTTGCCTTTTTATTAATAACCAGATAGTTCAGAAGCTGGTTTTAAGTCTCACCTTGGACCACAGGAATTTAAACCCTCCTCTTCTGCTGCCAGAGGCCTCTCTAGCCAGCAGGCTGTTATCCTCGGCGTGGGCTGTGGCTCGGTCCCTTCTGCGCTTGGAGCTGTGGCATTTTGCCCGAGGAGTGCAGGATTTGCCAGGCGGGGGGGGATCAGGCAGGCAGGAATGAGCCTGATTCTTTTAACGGGGCTCTTTCCTGACGGACAGTTCTGGGAATCTCTCCCCTGTCCCAGGAATTGCTTTGCATTTAAATTATCATGGGCTGAATTAACAAATATCTTGGAGTTGCAACCTTTCTCTGGGATAGGGATGCTTTTGGTTCTTCCTTTTTCAGTATTTGCCAATGCCTTGATGTTCTTCTACCCAAAAGGGAATTAATCACTGAGACAGCGTGAAGAGCACAGCACAGAAAGCAGGCATAGTCCAAATCTCAAGGGACTAATTATGCTCTTAAATGGTAAGAAAATCATCGCAGGTACGTTGGAAAAAAGGTGTCTTAGTAGCGCTACCTAGGATTACTGGCATATCTCCAAAATTTGTCCGTTAAAAAAAGGGAGACTTTCAGAGATGCTCGTTTACCTCAAAAAGATCAACAAGGAGCCCAAGAAAAGAAATTTGATACAAAATGGGTTTCCAAGTTTTCTTGACCCTTAGAGATGGAAAAAAGGAAGGAAAGATGCACGTGGAGGTATTGGATATTTTAATACTAAAACACTTTCATGCACAAACTGGAAAGTCTCAAAATAGAAAGAATCCAAAACCAAACCAGTGAGAAGAGCATGGTTTGGATTATGAAAAGTGCCGTGGCAGATGTTGTAACATGGCAGTGTGCAAGAGAAAGTACATGCCAGCTAGTTAAAGCTGATGAAGAAAGCCCATAAAAGAAAAGGCTATTAAGAGGAAAGGAGGGAGTATTTGTTTGAATGTATTTATAGAAATAGCAAACTCTTGGGGAGTGGAAATTTTCCAGGTACGTAATACAACACAGGACCAGAGTCAGAGGACAGGCAATACAGAAACACTGTTGAAAGGAGAAAAATTGAAATTAGATTCAAAATCTAATTGGTGACAAGCTAGGGTTATTCTAGGCCTCCAACAGTCTGAATGTGCAGAAAGCATACGCAAACACACACACACTTTCTCCTAAGATACCTCCTGGAGATGCCTTGACTTGTTCCTCTGGCAAAGCTGAGATCATGCCCGCCAGTCTGGTCATGCCTGCTACACTGGCTGTGGACATCATTTAAAAAAAGTGCTGTGGCAAAGCACTTCCCTGCTGAGTCAGCAGTACAGGAGCCAGGCGGCTGCCACGGAGGCCGCAGGTTCACCCCGGAAAGGATGCCTCCTCTGGGAGGCTTGCCAGGGTAGTGTCTGTATCCCCAGGCCTTCCCAGCAGCTTTCTGAAGGTGTACTAGTGGCCGGTCCCACTGAAATTAATGACCTCCATATCCAAATGCCTCAGTCAGCTTCGGGAAAGGCTTCCAAGGCAAGGGTGAGGCTAACAGCGTTTCTGAGAGGCGAAAGGCTCTGTCCCGGAACCCAGCTTGGGTGCAGGGAGCTGCCAGTCTCCACTTGATAAGGTTGTTGAAATACGAGTAAGTGCGGGGGAAGACAACTGTCTAGACCTTCTTTATAGCTATATAGCCTGCGTCCCAATGAGACCCAAGTTGTGTGCATGGCAGGAAAGCAAATATGAACTGTAAAAAGCTCTCGCAGAAGAACTCTCTTCTGAGAGGGGAAAACTGATAGCTAGAGCAATATAGTTCAGTGGTGTACCGTCTTTCTTTTTTTTTCTTCTCATTTTACAGTTTCCAGTGTATATGTATGAGATTTAAAGAAAAGTAGTGTCTCTTTTTATCAAGCAGTCTTGCTAAAACAATAACGTACATTCAGTTATATATCTGCTAAACATATCCTTTTTTATTGCTTTTCAGAAGTTCAAAGCATTAGCATAAAACAATTGAGGAGCTTGTTTTTTCCTGAGAGAGAGAGAGTGCCTGTTTACAAACTCATTTTATTTCTACAATATCCCATTGTTATTTATTTCAGACAGAAAGCTGTCATATTAACACTCTCCCTCATGCCGGACAGCTTGCTTTATTGCCTGTTATTAAGAGATAACATATACAGCCTGACAGGCACTGCCCACTTCTGCATTCCACCAGTGAAAGGCAAATTAAGTAGAAAATGGAGATCTCCAATATTTCTTTGGGCTAAAGTGATAGCAGTTTTTAACTTATTTTGTATTCATAAAGGATCCTACGTGTTCACAGCATATCCAACAGAGTAAACGGTCCAAAGAAAGTTTTTTTGTTTGTTTGTTTTTAAAAAAATTCTTAGAGAGGAGCTAAACCTCACATGTTCAGACTTGAGAATCCTAACAATCAAGTCCCAATATAAATGAATGCAAGGAAAGAATGAAAATACATAATACCTGGATGGCACAAGAAACCATTTAGGAAGCCAGTCTTGGCAGAACAGTGGTGCAGGCATGAGGAACCTGAAACCCAAGCCTAAAATAACAACGCCCCACCCCAAACCTTCAAATCCCATACCACAGCACTCATATCACCTACAGTTACTGCTTCCAAAGGAAGTACACTAGACAAACAGTTGCAAACATTTTTTTTTTAAGCTAAGTAAGTCCTAGGTGAGTGAAGCTGGTGGCAGGATTCTTGGGTATTGTCTTTCCATGGCCCAATGATAATTGTCTCAGCTGGCTCTTCCTATAGGCTGAGACAGCATTAGGGCAGTAACCAGCAGGACTTTTACTTCTAGTAAAGTTGCCTATCTATGCCAAAGCCCAGTTTATTACACAGTTTATATGTCAGAAAAGCCAAGGCTACTTTTTTCCTCTTTGGGTCTTAGCTTTAGCCTCAGCAGCTGATTCTTCCTGGTAGCAGCCAAGAAAAACTAGGGCTTGAGGCAGTGGAGTGCACTATTACGCAGAATGGCCTAGACAAGGATTTTAGCTGCGGTAAATCCCCATGTGTGTAAACAGACAGTAGGCTGCACTGCCTACCCTCTCCCCCAAAAGCAGGCTGTCATGACCTAGAATGGCTATTTATTAAAAATTAACAAAGCTATAATTGAGACTGAAATAACAGTTACAGTTCCAGACCGCTGAAAATCCTACTGAACTATTGTACTAATTGGTGGGGGAGGAAGGAAGCAGGGGCCTGAACCCCAAGATTTATGTCTTTTTATGACTTGTACAGCTTTGACATGGTCTTACAGCAGCAGAACTACTAAGAGGGAAACCACTCCAGTCCCCTCAAGGGGTACCAGTTGGCAGAAACGTTACAAAGACCATACAGAGACATAGATTTTAGTTGCAGAAAATTCCCATATATGCAAATATATAATACTGAAAGGCAATAAATACTTTGAAATAGTCTCGTATCCCTCAATGTAATAAATATTTTATTAGAATAATAGAAAAGAATGCATACAGATAACCATAGGATACACACACAGCTGGAAATTTAAGGATAAATTTCAAACTTTTCAATATGAAACAAGGTACTGGGTCCATATCTCATAGAGATATATTACTAGAAATTAAATAATACAATGTAATAGTTATCATGAAAACAGCAATACAGGAACATGAACTAGAATTTTTGCGAAACTAGAATATAAAGATTCATCCTTTGTTGCATGAAACAGACCTATATATTTACTAGTAACATCTGTTTTCCATCTCCCTCCCCGCACCCATTTGCAAAAGTCTGAAAACATCACTGGTTAGCCACATTGAAGAGCAACTAGCCATTTATAACTAAGTATGTATTTACAGTATATACAGATCTTGCTCACTTCAACAGTTAGCATATATTTTCTTCTGGATGGTATAAGCTAATTTTTATTGACTGCATATCAAGAAATTTCTACAGTATTATCATACCTCCATTAATCCCGGTTTTTGCGCTCGCTTTATATTTCTGTGTGTTGTAATAATACCGTGAGATAGCGTTAAAAAAACAAACCACCAATATCAACAACAACAAAACCAAACCATTTAAAAGGATATGTTTTATGTCAGCTGAACCTTGCTCTACCATGGATGCGGACAGCTGTCTAAGTTCACAACAGTATCAGTCAGTCAGTCAGTCAAACGTACCAGACTTAATGTATCACTAACATATTGCTATGAAAGCAAGCATAGATTTTTTTTTGTTGTTGTTATAATTAGCAAGCCTGAAGAGTCTCTGTGTATTTTTTTTTCTTTTTATAAGCTATAGTATTGCCATAAGCCTGTCAGAATTATATGATGGTCATAGGGTGCATTAGAGTGTCAGACTAGGTGAAGCAGCACGAGCTGGCTGAACAGAAAGCTTTTCAGCAGCAGCAAGGAGAGTTAGGACAGGAACAGCAAACACTGACTTAGGCATGAGTTTACAATGTGGTGTGGTAGATAAAAGCAACATAATTTTGGGCTGCATGTTTGGAAGCACCACATTACCAAGGTAGGGGTGTGGTAGGAGTCCCTTTTCATAAGGCCATGGTGCAAAAGCATTTTAATAGCGCTCACAGTTGGCACTTTTATTAGCGAAGCAAACTGACGGGCGGTCAAAGAAGGTCAATAAAAAATGATCCTGAAAGAGGAAGGTTGGTTATGAATAAAGAATTTGATTAAGAAATATAAGCTGGGGTACAGGGAAACTAAATGTCTGTCAAGGAAGAGGAAAGGTACATAAACGTACACTGAAATAAAATGGAGAGCCTTCTTTGAAACATGGTTGTGAAGTCGTCTCTTAAGAGAAGCAGTGGAAGGCCTGCCTCTTGGACACCTCCAACATGGATTGTGCAAAACTAGCATTCATGCCATGACTCTTCTCTGTCTTCTATAATCTCTCGTTATATTTAGAATAAATGATGTAAAGGGAAGTAGGCACAATTATCCAAATCTACTTGATAATGACACTGTCATTTAAGAACTGCCGGTTGGTCCACACTTTGTCATCAGATTGCAACTAAATGTCTGTGATTTCATCTTTTTCATGTAGAATAATGTTATCAGAACACAGAACATACTCAAAACAATGCAGTGTCCCTCCAAAAAATGGAGTTCTTCACAGAGCTCAGCTTTTCTTTCTAACTCTGTAATCACAGTGCCATTGCTTTCACCCCATCTCTTTTACGTTTAGCTGAAATATGTAATATGTAAACTCCTTTGGTTCAAGTATTAAGGCATTTTTAGATTCCTTTTTAAAAGATTTGCTAAACTCTAAATGATATTTTTATTTTTAACCTACAGTGAAATATAAAGAATTTAAAAACACATCAGAACAGAAGAAAAAACATGCACTAGCCACTGCATTTTTTTTTTTAGAAAGCACTTTTCTGTGATAATTGATTCTCTTTTCTTTCTAGTGAATGAAAAATGTATCATCACAACACTGAATTAAGAGTGAAGAAAAATATTGTTGGTAAGAAGCTGGATATGCTGAGGATATTCGAGACTGCTGGACCGGAACCTCTTGCATCCATACCTGTGACAAATGAAAAAGGTTAGGATTAAATGAAACCAAGAGTATCTACTGAATCAAATTATTACTCTTATTAGATGCTGAGCACTGCTTTCCAGAAAAAAAAAAAGTAACTTTTTATTTCTGATAAGCAATGGAATCGTTATAAAAATATGCTAAGTATTTTTAAAATATTGAAATGCATTATAAAACACTGAAACTATATGAACAGTCTTTATTTTCAAGGTAATAATTAGAGAAAAAGTAAAAATCTCATGTTGTTAATACTAATTTACATGGTAATTTACCAGTGCAATAGAACCAAGTTTGTCATGCATGAGGGCATGAAGATTGTTAATTGCTTTTCTTTTTATTAACTTATTACTACACAGCATACAAACATTTTTTTTTTCTTCCCATCAATAAGCACTCAGTTCATATAAAGAAAACCGCTGGGTGTCAGGTGCAAATCTAG